AGATAAATAGTTGCATTCTCTTAATGAATAGAATGATTTGTTCTAATGGTGTTTGTAAATAGAATCTCAAGTCCGCATCTTGTACAGCAATTAACCACTAAAAAGAATATATGCAGTGTGTTATTTGTTGAAACTGTACTTCCGATTTGATTTGAAACTGTCTCATTGCTGTTTATCAATAAAATTTTGAAAAAAGAAAAAAAAATCAATGTAAAATTGAATAAAAACCTAAATTTAAAACCTGAAACTGCTAGAAGAGAATATAGAGGAAAGATTTCCAAATGTTGGTACAGGCAATGATTTTCTGAATAGGACCCCTAAAGCACAGGAAACAAAAGTGTGATCATTAATTAACTGTGTCAATTTGAATGAGAAATGCCTAACTAAACCAGCTCAGCTTTATTTCTAGGTATCAAAGACCCACCACAGGGAGAATTGTCACCAGAATGGCATAAAAGGAAATGAAGAAGCAGGCCGTTTCTCCAAAGGAGTCCAGTCTTCACCTTCAATTTGGGCAGTGTGTCCTGGCTTCTAGAATAGACTCTATAGCCTTCGAGCCTAAACTCTACAGCCTCTAGCACCATACCTTCAGCCTCCCACTGAAGACCCTTCAGCCATCTAAGAGGGAGGCCAGCAGGATACTACAGTGAGCTCCAGGCCTTCAACTGGATCCTTTGGGTTGCCAGTGTACAGACCTTTCTCACTCTCACACCTGACTCTGTAGGTGGCCCTTGGAAGCCAACCTTGTAAATTCTTGTAAGTATATATACCTGGAATTAAATCTGGTTCTCTGGTTAAAAAAAAAAAGAATAAAAGGCTTAAAGGAGAAAATCTGTTTGGATAGAAGTGAGTTTCACTGCCATCCCCCCCCACCCCACCCTGGGCCTGCTGAGAAGACGATTGAGACTGGGTGTGGTGGCACGTGCCTGTAATCCCAGCTCTTGGGAGGCTGTAAACAGGAGAATCACTAGGAGTCCGATCTAGTAGTGAGACCCTGAACGCCCTGCAGACCCTTCCCTAAAATACAGATTACCAAAAAAAAAAAGTGAGTTTCATGTCTCATGATTCATTTCCATAAAATCAAGAATTAACTGCACCTTAGTTTCTTCAAATTAACATAATGTAGGACTTCTATGCCTATTCTGACACCTCACATTCAAAGGTACTCCCCCAAAATACGTTTCTGAAACATTCTTTAGATTGGCCAGATAGCTAGGCAGATTAAAGCACCTGTTTAGGCAGAAACAAGGACTAGGGTTCGATCCCAGGCATGCAGTGCCAGCCCACCCCAGGGTACACTGAGATGGCGACTAAGCCTGGGCATGGTGGCAACGCCTGTAATCCCAGTGCTTGGGAGGCTGAAAACAGGAGGATCACTTAGTCCAATCTCTATAGTGACAGAGATTGGACACCCTATACTAAATACATTAAAAAATAAATACAAAATAAAAAAGAAGTATTTTTTAGATCCAATTAATTTGGGCTCAGTGCATACATTTCCTAGGCTGCGTGAAAACTGTCAGTCGTTTTTAGGGATTTTCTGCCTTTAGAAAAGTGAGAGGATGTCAGAGTCTTCCCTGGGGCCATGACAGAGGAAGGAGCCCAGGTGTCAGTCTGAGTCTCCAGCCCTCCAGATCCCACAGCTGTGCTAAAAATGCACTGAGATGTTCACCCGGCTCATTCGTCTACACAGTTGTAAATGTCAAGCCTCTCCAATACTACGAGATTTGGGGGCCGCTGGAAAGTTAGGTAAGACTGGGGACCCCTGACCTGGTCCTGTCAAAGTTTTGCCAGCCCTGGAAGCAGGATGCAGGTGAGTAAATAAAATCAGCGGGCAAAGCAAGCCTTAGAGAGAACTTCTACTTCCCACGGAGGCGACCCACTGACTGCTTTGAATCAGAGAAGGGAAAGACAGGCGGGAAACAAAGAGGACCGAATAGTCCTGCCAGTACAGGTGAGTGTGTGTAAGTGTGCACGGCAGAGCGCTCAGATTCAGAACGAAGCCACCATGTCCAACCCTGGTCTCCGGAGCAGGCCGGGCGATGGACGGAGGCACCGGGGCGTGATTTGCCCAGCAACAGGAACTGTCATGAGAAATCTGGCGGAGCAGGACAGGGGACTTAGCGTGTAGCATCTGGTGACAAGTTGGCGGTGTAGCTCCTGCTAGGAACTGCAGCCACCGGCCAGGCGGCTCGCCTGCACTGTGTGACATCACCACCACAGCGCGCTGCTTCAACCCCGAGCCCTGCTTTTCTCATTCAACAATAAAATCCCCATTCTTCCTTTGTGCCTCAGCTGTACCACAGGCCACGCTGACCTGTGTGCGGATCCCAGACTGCAACCTTATCGTGAGCCTCAGTTAAACAGCCACAGAGAGCGCCCCACGGGGCCGAGGAGCCGGAGCCCAGCCCAGCTCACCAGCTGACATTGATCCGGGAATCACAGAGCACCGCCGAGGAAACAGTGGGCATGTTCCAGGGGAAATCCAAAGGAGAAAAATGAGGGGATCCCAGCATATATTGTGATACAATGATCCCAGTCAAGAGGTCTTGCACGGCCGCGGAGGCATCAGGCTGACACTGAACCAGTGGCTGGGCAGATATCCTGGAAGAACGTCTCGGGTGAGCGCATAATTCGGCCATTCTCTCATGATCTTACCAGAGTGAATCCTGCCTAAGAGTCCTTTCTTTATAAACTCCCACTTTATTTACTTTCCGATTGTTCACGTTGACACAAGCAACTTCATTTTGATTCCCATCACTTTCACAGTATTCTTTGTTTATTCCCAAATTTCTTTTATAGGAGATTCATCTCTATATTTTTAT